TTTTGGGATATATGTGTAAATTCGATTTGATAGTTTTGATTATAGGACAAACCCAAATGTACAAGACCAATTCCAAATTAGAACATTGTGTGTGATATGATAAGACAATTGAAAATAAATATTATATATATATATATATATATATATATATAATAAACCTGTTTAAAATAATTAAATTGACACATTTAGATATCATAATATAATATTATAAGTTAAATTAGGTGATGCTATCAAGCACTGTTTTGGAACCTTCCAAGGTGATTAGGTTGAACAAAAAAATTCAGAGGACCCGGGTTTTAATCCCAAGGACTGCAACAGTTAAGTTAGTTGAGGGGATCAAAGTGCAATAGCATATGTGAAGAAGAATGGGTGAGATTTCGTCATTCGTCAATTGGAATGGCTTGACATGTCAGAGTGCAATGAAGGCCAAGGCCATTAAAGTGGTGACCATGTGGCCAACATTGCGGCCAACTGTCATATATAATGCCCCAACCAAGGGTAGTAGTCCGCCATGCTGTGTGGCCTGTCCCCTAGGGATGCCATGTGTCATGTCACATGCCCCCACTTCCGAGGTGGAGGCTGAGACAAAGGCTTGTTCGTATGGTCTAAGCTCAGCCGTCACGTGAAGGAAGTAGTTGGAGTTCATCTAAGTGGATTCCATTGCTCTCGTCTAAAGTTTTATGCATTTTGTTCATCTCTGAACGTGGCAGTTAAGGTTCATATTCTATATCAGATGTATCGTATCGTATCTTTTAGGGTCTTGATACACCACCTGTTTATAGATATTTTGGGATCTTACTCTTTTTTAATGAAAAATGCATATATTTATCTCCCCAAAAATTAAATTTAAAAAAAAAAAAAAAACTATATTTCCGCATGTATCAGAGTACCGATACATAAGAGTATCCATACTTTGAATCATGGGACTGGCAATTCGGGATCAATGAAGGCACCAGTTTGAGATCAAGTCTTGAGGGTTGGAGCACAGGCTTGGTAACCATAGTATCTGGTCTGGCATCATTTCGGTTCTTGATGCATGCATCACGTGGTACCCCTCGACATGGGAAGGTGGAAGGGTGTGATCGGGGCCAGTGGATGAAATTGACCTTGTCCATTGAATTTTCTATCATTTTTATTAAGATTATATTATCAGAAATGAATGAAGTTCCAAATTATTATACCATACGTAATTAGAGAAGTCGAGTATAATCCAGTCTAATTAGGTCAGACCTAATTATCCCGATTAATAACCTTCCTAAAGAGATTACAAAGGTTTTAGATTTAGCCTTTGAAAATTATAAATTTTATATATAGGGTTCGACTATGATATGGAAAAGTTATGATATCTGAAAAATAATTAACCAAGAAACTGGATTCTTAAACATGATAGCTAATAAGGTATTATTTATCAAAATTCATGGGTAGATTTTGATTGATCAAAACTTTTTTCATACCATATCTTTCCTGCATTATAGATTTTCCCAAACATTTAAACATCATCTTACATCTGAATATATATTCCAATACTAGTAGTATGTAGAAATTTGGAATTATTTTAATTGGTTGACAGTACTAGAGGACACTGGTTATTATAGAATCAAATTTGGCATTTCACTCTGAACGTCATAAAGTTTTCCAAAATTCAACTTCCTTCTGTTATCAAAAAAAAAAAAGACTAGAAAATTTGCCAAAATTTTATTGCATTATTTATATATGCATATTTTGATATATAATAGAGTATGTAATGTTTTCATTATAATTATTCTATATACTACAATTTAATTAAATCTCTCTCTCTTCTTGTATGTATGTATATAATTTAATGTATATTATATAGCTATTTATCTATCATATTTTACCATTTTCAGTAGAAACTTATTATGGATGAAATAGACCAAAATATATATCAGTTGAATCTTGAAAATTTATGTAATTTCTATATGAAGTTAAAATCATGTAATAATCTTGGCTCCTAAAATATTATTTGATAGGTTTTATTTGCTTATAATTAATAAAATATTATTCTTGTAAAGGGTCATACTATAATTTACTAATAGCTACAAATACATGCAAGCATTTCCATGAAATACAAATAGCCAACTACTAAGTACTAACCGGGTCAGGTAAGTCACTTCTATTCAACTCACTCGACGTAGTCATTATCGATTCTAAGGGCCAAGGCTAGTAGCCTAGTAAGCTATAATTTAAGAAGCAAGTTTACGAGTTAAGACCGAGTCAAAGCAAAACCCAATTGAGTCAGCCGATTTCCACGATGATCCCAACTTGAGCCTTAGCTCATAAATTTGTTCTTAATCAGGTGTAACCATCATCACTAGGTCCCACCTTGGGAATCTTGCATGCCAATTCCTATCACAATTGTTTCCATAGGGCACTGCAGTCTTTTCTATCTGTCTCATAATTAATAAATATATCACACCCCTACAATTGAGCTGAAGAGATCTTCCCAAGGGAATAAGAATTTTGGGTCCATTTCCCATGAGTATAAGACACCAATGGATTGAATACTTCATCCTATTTATTACTTCCTTGTGCTATTTATTCAGCTCTTATTCTTCCTTGGTAGAGTAATAGTTTTGCATATGGTAGTAAAAATGATTTAGGTGCAAATTTTGATTTATTTTTTTTTCACATTTTATTTAATTGCAGTATAAATGGAATAAAATAAGACCGAAAACAGAATGAAGTAAAACCCAATTAAAATTAAACTAGAATTTGCATTCTATTCATTTGCACTCTTATGTATTTGTACTAGTGCAAATACAAATAAGATTGCATTACAATCAAACACAGCCTATGATCCTAATCTATATACCTATATTTATATCTATACTATTATAAAACGTAGGAATACAATTTTATATTCTTGGATTTTTTTCTTTTTTTTTTGACTAAAAATTCCATCAGATCATATCATCATATAGGAAAGGATGGGAGTAGATGTATGTTCAATCCAAATATGAAAAATTGAAATTGAGTCACCCTTAACTGGATGGGGTTCGATTCAAATTCGGATAAGAGGTGGTCCCTTTCATCTCTCATGAGGCATAAGGCAGTAGTAGAAAGGGCAGAAACTCATATTCTTCTGATCAGAGTACCCTCATTGTTAATTGCATTTATTATTTTCAAAAGAAGGGAATTAATTCTTTATCATATAAATTATCCTCATTTCCTTTTATTCAAGTTGTGCCACAGCCCTAATTCATTTATAGCATGTCTTTTATTGGCCTGCTTGTGAATGTAACCAGTAAATATTATTCGTTCTTTGAGGCTCTAAGAAAGGAAAAATCTCTTCAATGAGAATTTGGCCTATCCACTTTTGACAAATTTTAGTCGCCTTCAGTGCATTCCACTTGTTGTACTTTTGCTGCCCTTTTTCCTGACAACATCTCTCCCTCAATAGGCCCCTTGTGATCACTCATCATCTTTATGACTACATTCCATAAGAAAATGAAACCCAGTCATTCTTTATTGGCCTTGTTTCTTCCATTGGGTGGGTACCACTTGGAAACATTTTTCCAGCCCTATTGTTTCCCTTGCTGCTGACATGTCATGTGTGTCTTATTTGGTCGGGCCAAGTGGCATCCTTTTCAATCTATTCAGTGTTTTCTATGTTGGCCACTTCACATTTGTGATATATTGATTTATCACCCAAGTATTTGAAATAATTTGGGCTCTATTCTCAAAAACTTTTGCTTTTGAGCTTTGGGCTGTGCAAAACAGAAATAGTTTGGAAGGGTTGGTCAGAATTGCTTCTAAAACAAATACCAACCCCTTGCAAAACCGTCCTCACGTAATCCTCACAGCCCCCAGAGCAGAATTGGGATTCCGTCTTCACACCATCCTCATAGCCCCAAAGTAGAATTGGGATTCAGTCCTGACAAATCCGTTCTCCTACTATCCTCACAGCCCCTTGCAACTATGTAATGAAAATATCTTTCCATGAATAAAACATATAAATATGGAAATATTCCTGGACTTAATTTGGATGAAGTACAAATATAAATATATAGTGTAAAACCTTATATTTTGTATGTATTTACACTATACATATTTGTATTTATATTCTTTTCAAAGTAAGCCCAGGTTTTTAAGAGGATTAAATCTAAATTCCCCCAAAGCATACACCATAAAATTGGGGCTTTGTACTTTTGGGTTTTAAAAGCAAACAAATCCTAAAGCTTATCCAAACGCAACCTACCTTTTAGTCAAATCGATGTGCGTCTTACACTGGCCATTTTTTGGGCTTTAGATCAACATGTTTGTGAAGGAAAACTTTACTAAAATGACTTCCCAAAAACGCAGCAGAAGTTAGAAGAAGCCTTCTTTTTTTACTTCTTCAAAACGTGGCCTAGGTGCTTTTTGGGTCAGAAAAAACACTTTCTGTGCTTATTCACCAAACGTTTATCTGGATGCTTAAGTTAGGCTTCCCAAAAGCAAAAAGCCCAAGAAAGGCCGCTCAAACCCAGCCTAATAATTTGTATTGGATAAGTGCATTTGACAGTATAAATTTATTTGCACCAGTGCAAAATTATTGTCATACAAATGATTTGAGTGCAAATTCATCCATCTTCAATTGCTGTGGTTGTGGAATGAAAAGAAAATAACAAAACCCAGGCCAGACCGATTTGGTAAAGCATAATTACACTTTTATCCCTCCCTGCATGGATACGTCTAATTATGAGGATGATACGGTCCAAGACCAACAGCACAGCATTTATGACAGATGGAAGTACGAGAGAGGTAGGACTTAGGGGAGAGCTAGCGTCATAACCAAATCAGCCCTCGCTTCCTTCTATATTACTAAACTACCCCAACTCCATTCTTCAACCGGAGACTCACGTCATGACTCATGAGCGCACGATATTCTAACTCACGTGTCAAAGTAACTATGGTTAACAAATAATAAGTGTAGCTTTTTACTGTACGCCCTGTGTATATATAACCCAACCGGAGAAAACAGTCGAAACTGATTTCGAAAATTAAGAGAGATAGAGAGAGAGCGGGCTTGATCTACGGAAACCCAGATAATTTCCTGCTGTAAGCAGAGAAAAGCTGCGATTTCTGGGCACAGCGAGCAGTGCTTTGACGAGGGGTTGAAGTTGATGGTCCTTTAATGGTGGTTCGAACGATGCATGTTGCCTCTCGGTGGAGAAGGAAGGAGTTGTGAGTAGAACTTCCAAGGTGTTTTCATGGCGAAGGAGAAGCTGCTTTGACGGCTCGTTGAGGAAAATCGAGACTGGACTGTTTTTTAATTGTTCAGAGACGGGAACTTGGACTTGGGGAGCAACGATTCCAAGCTCTCAAGGAATCGAAGCCTGTTCCCGCGTCATAATCCTCGGATTTCTACGATCATCTTCGAATCTGATTCGAGAACCAGCGGAGATCGTTCAAAAGAAATACTAGTAAAATCCTCGGTTATTCGTTCTTCCGTCTTTGCTTTCTGGAAGATTTCTTTTTTTCAATTTTCTTTCTCTTTTGAGAGCTTAGATTATTGGTGGAGAAAAGATTAGGTTCTGCTGTTCTTTACTTCCTTGACTGGTAGTTGCTTGTTGCATTTCTGCTTGCTACGTTCTGAGTCGGTGGGGAAAAGAAGGTGATGTTTATATATTGCTGAAAGCGTTTTCGGAAGAAACTTAGAAACCCAATGTAGTGTTGTGTAGGAAGTAGGAACCTTTCAAGCGTACGTACGTAGAAGAGCTTTGAAGAGGCGAAGTGGAGTCTCTGATCCTAAAATGTACGAGTTTTTGCGGGATTCAGAAGGTGAAATCGGTTCAGCAGAGACACTAAATTCTAGCCAGAGTTCGATGAGCAGCGATAGCTGCAGTAGCATCAGTCGTCTTTCATTTGATGCTCTCGAAATCTCCGCCAAGACTTCGTCTTATTATTCGCCTGAGAGCTTTGCCTTCAAGCCCCACCGGTCGTCGGACTTCGCGTGGGAAGCTATACGTTCCGCCATTTCCCGCCGCAAGAGCGGGTTGACTTTCAGGGATTTCAAGCTCGTTCGTCGAATTGGGAGCGGCGACATTGGGAGCGTCTACCTGTGCCGTCTCAGGACCCCCGTTGCCGGCGATGATAGCTGCTATTACGCCATGAAGGTTGTGGATAAAGAAGCGCTTACGTTGAAGAAGAAGGTAGAGAGGGCGGAGACGGAGAAGAGGATTCTGAAGATGCTGGACCATCCATTCCTTCCTACTCTCTATGCAGAATTGGAAGCTTCGCATTACGCTTGCGTGGTCATGGAGTTCTGCTCTGGTGGTGATCTGCATACTCTCAGACACAAGCAACCTAGCAAACGTTTCTCGTTGAGCTCTGCAAGGTACATTAATGGAAACTCTCCCTTTTTTTCTTTTCCTATACAAATATTAAAAAAATTTAAGATACAAAGAAAAAGGGTAATTATTAATTTTACAGATCCTGTTCTAAAAAAAAATTACATATCCTGTTTCAGTGTCTCCTAGTATTAAAAGGATTTTGTCTGCTCTTCGACTCAGTGCAGAGATACTATTTAAAATTAAGAAAAGCTGCAACCTTTTGGACTTAACAAACCTTCTTCTTATTATGATTCAAAAATTAGAACCTTTCGTCTTTTTTCACATTTTTTGCATTAAATTCACCAGCCATTCATTGCATTGAGCCATTGAAGCAGGAAATTGCAGATTTTCTGGTAATTTATTTTCCGTTTTCCATTTCTACCTACGCAGAATATCTCAGTATTGCTTCTTCTGTCTACTATGTCTAATTGTCTACTACAAGCTTTTTGAACTCATCCCGGTACGATTCGGCCATGTCATGGATTAATATCTGACTCTGAGAATGTGGGTTTTTAATTTGTTCAGGTTTTATGCGGCTGAGGTTCTTGTGGCCTTGGAGTACCTGCACATGTTGGGGATCATCTACAGAGACTTAAAACCGGAGAACATCTTGGTTCGATCGGACGGTCACATCATGCTCTCTGATTTTGATCTTTCACTGTGCTCTGATGCAATACCAGCCGTCGAGTCGCCCGACTCATCCCCCGGTGCCACGACGGCCACTTCAGTGCCGTCGTCGACCGGCAGGACAAAGACAAAGAGGAGCACATATTCGACCTCGACGTTCTCTTGCCTTTACAACCGGCTCTTCCGGTCTCGCAAGGTACAGACGGCGACACTAAACCGCCGGTTCGTTGCAGAACCGGTTTCCGCCCGGTCCTGCTCCTTCGTCGGGACTCACGAGTACGTCGCTCCAGAGGTGGCTGCCGGGAAATCGCACGGGAACGCTGTAGACTGGTGGGCCCTTGGGATCTTCATCTACGAGCTGATCTACGGCCGTACACCTTTTTCCGGCGAGAACAACGAGGCCACGCTGCGAAACATAGTGCAAAAGCCGTTAGTTTTCCCGACGGAATCTCCGGCAAGTGAGACAGAAGTCCACGCACGTGATTTGATCTCCGGGCTCTTGGTCAAAGACCCGTCGACGAGGCTGGGGTCAAAAAGAGGGGCGGCGGACGTTAAGACCCACCCCTTCTTCAAAGGATTGAACTTCGCCCTTGTACGGTCATACAGACCGCCGGAGATTCCGGGTTTCCGGCGTGCTACGTCGTGCCACGAGCGGTTGAAGAAATCTTCCACGTCCAAGTTCGACTATTTTTGAACTCAACCAAAGCTTCCCCCAGGCCTCCACGTGTCCCGGCAGATTTTCCTACGCAGCGACATTGTAAATCCAGATGTTCTTCTTATCACTTTTCTCCTCCCGTAATTGTACTTTGACAGTTATTTAATATTTATAGCTGTTAAAGTATTGGCCGAAACGTGTCGTGTCGGGTTATGTGGATCGGATATATAACTACTATTACTCTATTAGCGGCCCCAGCCCACTGAGCCTAGACAAAATTTCTCTCAAACGGCACCAATTATGCGTTTGTTTTGTAGGTCTTGGTCTTGGCCTTGGTCTTGCATCATTTATTGGCCTTTTGACCTTGATTTCCTTGAATGATTGACTATACTTCAAACAACCTAAGCCATTAGATTGGAGGAACCAACGTCTCTGATTCTCATGTATGTCCCTTAAATCCGTTTGACTCTTGCTCCAATTAAGCTCTAACAGTGGTTTACAATAATAGCCACGTGGCAAATAGCATGGTTCTGGGTACAAAAGCGACAAAGCAAATGAATCTTTTAAAACAATCTAAAGAAAGGGGATTGATTTTATTACATGTGAATAAAAAAGATACAAGTAACACAAGTGATAAGGAGTCACCCCAACGAAAACAACAATCAGAAAATAAGTACATAATTCAAGACAAAATTCTTAACCATGCAGAGTATTTTTTTTCTTTACTCCTTCAAATCCTGGAAGCACCAACACTCAGCCAACAACTAAGGCTGTGTGGCTGTGTTTGGTTGCGATGCAAATAAATGTTTGCACTGATGCAAAAAAAAAAAAAAACATAGCAGTACAAAAAATTTAAGTGTAAATTCTGACCTATGTTTGTTTTAAATCTTAACTTATTTTATTTAATTGCAATAAAAATAAAGCAAATTAAAACATGAAACAAAGTAAAGTTCAAAACAAAATTATACAAGAATTTGCATTTCTTACATTTACACTTCCATGCATTTATATTAATGCAAATAAAATTGCACTGCGACGAAATACAGAAAGAACATATTGCCACCCCAACTTTTACCAAATCTCCCAACAAACAGCAAAAGGAATGCAGCCTCTTTAAAAACATCCTAAAAACTGTTTGCCAGCCAAAAAAAATGATTTATTAATTTAGGGTGGAAAATGGAGAGATTGAGGGAGACAGATGGAGGGGGCTGTCCATGTGACCACCTGCCAAGCAGCACCCCAACCAGCTCACTTGGAAGTACTGACTGTCTCCTCTTTACTGTTCAAAAGGCCCCGCCTTCAATGAAAAAGGAAAGCTCTGGTACCTTCCCATCTATATGCAGAACTGTTTGGAGCTGTTTCAACCCTAGCTAGCCAGTTAGTTTCTGACACGTTGTGTACCCTGTTGCTGTCCAGTGTCCACGTGGATAATTCATCTATCCGTCGTTGTTGAATTGCTGTTCCATGAGGTGGGTGGTGCCGGTGGGACCAAAAAGTGAAAAAATCAATAAAGAACAAAGTGGGAATGCTTTGCTTTAATGGTGATGCAGAAATTAAGAATGTAAAGATTGGGAGGAGAGAAGGGGAGAGGGGCCGTATGATGAGTTTATGATTGTATAAAAAATTGGTAAGAGCAGTAGAGAAGTCATTTGGGTTTGACTTTTTTGGCGCCTTTCTTGGGGTATAGTTAGTGCTTTTTTGCTTATAAGTTATTGCTCATTGGTTTTAGAGGTCTGGAGATTATTTAATTTGGGTGAGGCTGGCTGTCTTTCAACCGGGGCCAACTAAGCTTGGACTACTTTTACAAAAAATGTATATATCTGACCTTGTTAATAAACAGGTCCAATTTACATTGTACACTGCTGAGTGCTGTCTTCAAAATGAAGTCTAGACCAGCTCGGAACAATTTGTTTACAAAGTGGTGTGGCCTCAGCAGGATTACCAAACACAGGAGGAATTCAGAAAGAAGAGATAGAGAAGTGAGTGAATTTTCTGGAACTGTAGAACTGTTTATTTGTGTTACCCAAAATAAAAAAAAAAAAAAAAATTTAGGGACCAGTAAGATTGATTGAAGAAGATGGCAACGGTTTGCAAAACCCAGTTATGATTGGACAGAGGATACTACTTCAGGCTCTGGAATAAAAACAATAAGCATCAGAAGATTATCATCAATTCCACCAACTTTGGTGACACCCCAAGTGATCCAGACCTTTGATTCATGGGCCACCTCTATAGTCAATTCTGAGCAGAGGTTTATAAAAATATTTACTAGTGCCAGGCAGACCTAAAAACCTGCATTTGGTTGTGGAAGCAGCTAATAGTGTCCAACATGTGTATTGGGAATGGAGTCATGAGGCTTTGGCTTAAAATCTGTTCCAAAAGTATAACCATTTGAATGATTCTTGCTAACCAGTATTGTCAGGTTCAGACCAAACCAGATGATCACACCCTTTCTAAGCTGCCTGGTTCTTAGAATGTTGACTTGGTCAAACTACCTTTAAACACATATAAACTTATAAAATTTATTGTCTCAAGTCTATTTTAATATATAAAATAACAAAACATAATCTGTTGCTATTTTTAAATAGTATTTACATTGTTTTGATAGGAACAGCTCAGTTTCAAGTGGAGCTGTCAGTGGTTGATTTGCTCAGTCTGGTCTAAATATGTCCTAATTGATCCCAGTTGTGTTTACTTTAATCAATTCATTCTTTAGCCTTTTTGACCAAATATATATAGATTCTACTTACATAACCAGATTTTATCCTTAATTTAATCAGATTGTCTTGCAATCACTACCTAAATTGATGTAGGTTAAGAGAAAAAAAAATTGTTAATTACACTGTATAATATTAAGGAAACTTTAAATAACAAGGTTTCACTAGACCAACAAGAAGCATCACTAGGTTGATTAAATATGAAGAGATTTCTTTTCATGGTATAATTGATACAGTAGCCTTTTCTAGGCTTGCTAGCTTTTAAGCTAGCTATTTAGGGAAATTTGGGTTTATTATAGCTAGGTAGATCCAAACTTGATTCTTTTGTATTCGAATTTGAATTGTATTGTATTGATTGCAATGGGATATTGAACATGTATATACTATCAAAATATTATATATCATTAATAAAATGAACTAAAAATGATTTTGGCTGTGCTAAGTTGCAATGCAAATAAATTTGCACTGATGCAAAATGATGTAAGTTAAGACATGAAGTAGAATAAAGTAAAGCCCAAAAAAAAATTTAAATGAGAATTTGCATTTTTTTTTCATTTGCACTCCTATGCATTTGTACTAGTGCAAATAAAATTGCACTGCATCCAAACACAGCCTATTCAATTTGAACAACCAGATACAATTTGCAGCCCTATATTTGTAATGAAGTAAATGATCTAGGGAAAAAATAATTCTTCCAAAGGTTCAAGTTTTCTCCAGCTAGAACAAAAGTAGCTACAAAGCAAATTAAAGGTGTTCAATTCAAACATTAGGCTCAATTTAGAAAAAGTACAAATATGTACATTACAAATATATACAAAATAATAAAAAAATACAAGGTTCTGCACTCTTACATATTTGTATTTGTACTCGAGACTGAGCCTTAGCAACAGATAGTTAACAGCTAAAGTGGCTGAATTGAATGACTTATTTCTTTGTTATTCTCTATTTGTTTGCAATGCAGTTCCATTTACACTAATACAAATGATGATGCAAATGAAAAAAAAAAAAATTCTAGCCCATATACTTTGGATAGATTTCAACAATGCAAACAAACAAGGGTTTAAAAGGTCGGGAGACTCGGAATATCAAGTCAATACTAAGAGTGCTATGAGGTGTGTAGTATAGAGAGGCAAACCACGGAGCATATCGGCTGGCAGATTGGGGTCACTAGAATTTGCTAGCTAGCTCCTTTCTTTACAATTCTGACCTCATTTTTATTTGTGGGGAATATCTAGTTACGTACTGCCCGCTTCCATAGCGAGTTGCACTCTCATCCTTTTGCATTAGGCTCAGTTTGGAAGGAGTACAAATAAAAATATATACTGTGCAAATATATATTAAATTAATACAAAATATTAAGGTTCTGCACTTTACATATTTGCATTTATAAATTGTGCAGCAATCAAAGAAGCCTTAATAAATAAGGCGACATTTGACAAGTTTGCCTGTGCGGTCTTCTGAGCTTTGACAAGTTTAGAAGACCGAATTTTGAGAAGCTTCAAATGAAACTTTCTTATCTTTTCACATGATAAATGTCCTCTAAACATTTTTTTTAAATCCCTAATTTGCCTAAATACAACCTCAAAAGCTAAATATATTTTTTGGACAATACTTGCCAAACAGCACTTTCAAGAACAAAGTTCGAGTTGGAATGATTAATATATAATTTCAAATATCTTATTATTTAATTATTCTATCCAGTAAAAGATAAAAGACAAGGGAAGAAGTGTCCTTAGGGGAAAAGCGAAAAGCATATATGTCAGCATCTTCTGGAGCAAATTTCATTAATGAAAACCTTCCTGCTGATATCATAACTACTGTATATTCCTCCTGTTTTATCTAAGATCTGAACAAATTTATGTGACGTCTCAGCCAATGATGGTGCTTGCCACATTGTGCATGCTTACCATGTGGCAAAAGAATGATACTTAAATAAGATGTTTTCTATACAGAAACTCTTTATATATATCTATATATATTGCCCTTAGACAAAACTGAACTTGTACAACTCCACAGCTTGCAGACGTTGAAAGGGTCCCACTGCCTAATTAACATTGAAGGTACGTACAACTTGGGTTGAACCAACCCAAGCCCGATCTAATCCATATTAGGGTTGGTTAGGTTGGGTTGAATTGAAAATCGTGTTAGAATTAGGGTTGAAAAATTCAAATCTTAGCGATATATTTATCTAAAGTTCACAATGACTTTTAAGTGTCTGATTGTCATCATGTCGTTGCTCCAGAAAACGGCGACATATCAGCACCACGTTGGAAAAAATGGTGCTTTAGGAAGTGCCTGTTTGTTTGGAACCGTTTTTTCATAAAAAACGGTGTTCTATGTCATGCCTTGAAAATTGAGAAGGCATGGTTTGGAGTAACGTCTAATTTGGCGTTTTCTCAGATTGCGGCTCATTGCTGTCAATAAGGACGTGATGTGGCAATGATGTGGACTTTCTATAATATGTACCAGTGCTAAAAATAGACATGGAGCACTGGTACCAACCAGAAAGTGTTGCTATTGCTCCAGGAAACATCCTACCTGGCAGCAACGTTTCCAAACAAAAGAAAAGACATTGTTTTCTCAGAAAACGGAGCTTCCAACCCACACATCAGTAGAACAAAAATAGTGTTGTATCTGTAGCATCAATGCCAAACATATACTATATTTCTCTTAAACTCATCATAATTTTTCAAAGCCTCCAGAGAG